TTCGTATTTGAATCAAAGAATATACTTCTGTGTTTTAGGCATCACCAGGGGAGGTTACAGGGACAAAAGTTATCAGGTTAGTCTTCAATGCAAGGAGTGGTGCAGGAAGAATAGGAATCATCATTGCTATTGGCTAGGGTGGCCCCATTGGTTTATTTTATAGAGTTGCAGTTTATGGTTTGATAAAGGGAGATTAAATTGGTCCCAGCCAGGGTTAGGGAGGAGTACACTGGACTAGGTGTCGGTTCCTGGGTCCATCTACTTGTCATGTATTTGTGTGGCAGCCAGGTGGGGAGATGTCAAGCTCAACTATGACACACCCTGTAATCAAATGGCCTACTGACATGCACTACTAAGGCTCACACATGAACAGTGGTCAGCGCCTTGGGATGTCCTCCCGACGTGAAAGGCGCTTTACAAATGTAATTTGTTGTTGTTGGGTGGGGTACCAGAAGGAAATGTAAGCCAGGAGGAAAACAGTAGTAGAGGAGTATATCACAGTGACATATCTCTTTGGACCATCTGATCTCATACTTCAAGAATGCCCATCCTTCCTTCCTCTCATCAGAGTATCAAACTAATTTTTAAATAAGTCCAGTGTCCTGGCCCCAAACACTCTTCCTGCCAACCTGTTGCAGTCATTTGTTAGTTATATTTATTCTCCACTGATTGTGTGTTTTGCAGTGTATCCTGTGTATCCCACTGGCCAGCCCCCTTCTGTCGCAGTGACTGAACTGAATGTAATGGCCTACTTCACTGCTTTCTGAAAATTAACAGAAACTGCCTTCGATAAATTGAGATTTTTGCTGCATCTATGTTAAATATTTACAGTCATGTTAAACCCTTGTTCGAATCTGCTAACTAGTCTTATTAGTACATTAGTACCCCTCGCACAATGCTTTAACTCCCATTCTAAACACAATGGCAAGCCAGTGTTATTGTTGGCTTGCAACTACTGTATTGACGGACAGGATATTTGCCCTTTAGAAATAGTCAGCGACAATTACTCTGTTTGAGAAATGTTCTCTAATGGAATTTGTTCTGAATTGTGAAACAGCGTGGTAGAATGACCTTCTAAATATCTAGTTAAACGCTTTGGGGTGAATTATTTTGTTCAATCATGACACCATAAGCAGATTTGTTTTCATGAACTTTCAACTTTTCCATTCAATAAAGTTATTTAGTACGATTGCTTAATTCAAATGTAACAATATTCTGCAGGCTTTACACTTTATTTGTACACTATTTCCACATTTTATTTTTATTACCAGAATGCGCTGTCTCAGACAATTTTGTACATAAGTGTGAGACTGCACTGCAAATATTAATTTGGCAATTTTGCAAATATTAATTTAGATGAGATTCAACTGAATACAATATTTTTGCAATAATCATAAAACTAATTTCACTTCCAAGTCATTAGCTCCAACTGACATCCCATTAAAAAGATCCATATAATAGCCAACTCCATTTGCTTTTATTTAGAGATTATTCTTAACTGCTTGTGGACTGAATGCCTTTTGCCTCTTTGGAGAAATGCATAGGGTTTATATAGTATTTAAAAGAATGTCTCTTCACTATAACCTCAGAATGACCATTACTAAACAGCTTTGTGATAACATGCACAAGGCATGTTAGGTTCAACATATCTGGATGTACAGTGTTGTGAAGTTACTGCAATTAACTGCTTGTTGGCACACATAGTCTGTGTGAAATATCTTTTGTAACATGCTGCTTGCTATTGGGCTATTCTTTGACGTTTTCCTGACTGTAAAATTACACTGATAAATCAAATGATTGACTGCAGACTTCAAAAGAAAAATCAATTAATGCAAGCTTTTATAGAGCAGCGGAATGTTACCCTGTCAGTAACTGAGACTCCTACCAAATCTGCTATACCTGCATCTGGATGTGAGAAATGCACTTGCAGAACAAAGAGAGCCTAAACTTTACCTAAATAGTTGTAATGCTTTGTTGTTTCTCTAAGAAGATTTATTTTTCATTGGCAGGTGGGTTGGCAACCAGGTGTCATAGATTCAAGATAATTAGCAAAAGAACCAGAGGGGAGATGAGGAGAATTTTGTTTACCCAGAGAGTTGTTATGGTCTGGAATGCACTGCCTGAAAGGATGGTGGAAGCAGATTCAATAACAACTTTCAAAAGGGAATTGGATAGGTACTTGTAAAGGAAAGATTTTCAAGGATACGGGGAAAGAGAGGGGGAGTGGGACTGATTGGGTAGTTCTTCCAAAGAGCCGGCACAGGCTGAATGGCCTCCATCTGTGCTGTAAAATTCTGTGATTCTCTGATTCTAAGAAAGCTCCAGCCACTACTAATTTAAAGCTAATTTAACGAAAGGGAAAGAAAGCAGTACAGTAATAGAAACATGGGATAGAAACTACGTAGCTAATTGATACAAAGTGCTGATGCAATTGTACAGCATTGGTATTGCAATCTAGAATGTGGGTTGGGCTATTTCCACTGGTAGGGGAATCAATGACTTGAGGCTATAGATATAAGATAGTTACAAGAAGAGCAAATGCAGAGCTTAAAGAGAATTTTTTTTCGAGCAGAGTTGTTGGGATGTGGAGTGCTCTGTCAAATAAGTCGGTGGATAGAAAGTCCATTGCGGATTTCAAGAAGGAAACAGAAAGGTATTCGAAGAATAGAGGTTTGAAGGGGTATGAGGATGGGGCAGCCAGTGGAATTGAATGAAAACCTTGCTTTGAGAGTTAGTGCAGACTCGATGTGCTAATTGGCTTCCGTCTGTGCTGTAAATTTGAATGATTCTATGAATAACCCATGGGCTAACCATGTTCACATGCATGCAGATGCACTCAAATCGGTGATGAATTAATGAAAATAATTACAAAATCACTTGTAATTCTTTTAATTTGTGCTTGATTCATCCCAGGGCCATTAGCCCAATCACACATTAGCTTGTTTTGAAATATGCTCAGGGTTGATCTATCCCATTGTACTGTTGGGACCTTCCCATCAACTAAGATTTTGTCTTAGTTGATAGGTTAGAGGACACATCCATAACTTCGCCTCTCATAGATGAGTCAGGCAACCATCAAAAATGGCCTGGATTTTGAAAATGTAAAGCACATCTTTTCTGAAAGCTAGTTAAACAATGTCAAATCCTTCCTTTTCTCCAATGAGAATTTACATTGACTGAGTGTTCAGTTTATTGTGCATTAAAGCCCCACTAGTCTAGGCTGACACTCCAATGCTTGGAGTGTGCTCATTGCTCGAGGGGCCATCTTTCAGATGAGACATTAAACTAAGGCCTGTCTGCCTGTTCATATGGACTTTAAAGATCCTATCACACTCTTTAAAAAGATATGGAAGTTTCTCCTGGTGTCCTGGCCAACAATGTCAATAAAATTGATAAATTACTTTATGCCTGTTTGTGAGACATTGCCGTGTGCATGTTGGCTGTAGTGTTCGCCTACAAATACACAATTCGCGCAATTTACAATAAAATCCTGTGAAGTGCTTTGAGACATCTCAATGATGTGATAAGGTGCTATATCAATTGCAAGGATTATAATCATTAGTAGTATAATTGTGACTTTCATTTTATGATTGCGGTCAGCATTTTGCTTTTGAGCCTTTTCTAAGCCAGATTTATTTACTCACTTTGGGACCACAAGAGAAGTTTGGGTGAAGAAAGTGTTTTGACACATTTGATCTATGTTTCCAGATTACCCACCCAAATATCCATCCATTTTATAATTAAGCTGTTTCTAAAAAAAACCTGAATAAGCTTGGGAGGGATGTTTTTAATATGTAAAGATTATCCCTTCTAAGATGAAATCCAATATGATGGCATGCAGGCTTTTCAGATAGGTTTGGGTGCTACCTTTATTCAGAACAACAACAAATTACATGTATATAGTATTCTTCACGTCGGGAGAACACCCCAAGATGCTCAAATCAGAAGTCAGCAGTGGTGGACACTTTTTAATGAGACATATCAATAGGGGGTGGAATGTGGTTAGGGTTACTGCAATTTTGATCCCTATTTGCAAGCTCAATAATAACATTACAAGGGCTCAAAGCTCAAATAAAGTATACACTGCAATTGGATATGAAATAGTCACAGCCATTCAGATGAGACATTAAGCCGAGGTCTTGTCTGCCTGTTAAAGAACCCATGGCACTTTCAAAACGAGAAGGGAATTTGTCCTGGTGTTCTGGCCTACAAACACCCAAATAAAATCTGTCATTCACTTCATGGGTGATTGTGGGACACTACTGCACCCACATTGGCTACTGAGTTCACCTACAGAAAGAACAGTCACTGCACTTTATTGTTATTATTATAATGTTGATCCCTATTTGATTTCTGAGAAGATACAATAACATGCAAATGATCAATAAATACATTACATGGGTTCAAAGCTCAGATAGAGTTTACACACGGCCGGCTTGGGTCTTCTGCATGACCCTCAATCACTCTGCTCCACCATTGGCGGTCGTGCTTTCAGACACTAAGTCCCAAATTCCATGTCTTAATCCCTCTGCCTTGTCCCCTCTTTGCCTGTTTTCAGATCGCACCGGTAGACTTTTCTCTTCACCCATGCCTAGCTTCCCTTTCTCAGCATCAAACTATGCCATTGTTCGGCGCTCTGAGACTCTTACCAGCATGAAGGGCACTATATGAATGCAAGTTGCTGCTGTACCTCGAGGTTGGGATGACTGATAGGCAAAGTCCTCCAGCCTTTCTAACTATATTCCTCCAAACTTCCACTCAATCTATAATGTGATGATTCCCTCCAAGGTGTTGATCTTTTTATTTCTAATTTGCATTCGCCTGCCTGTCTACCTCAAATTAAAGCCTCTAACCTAGGAGTGTATATTGACCCTTATGTTGTAGCACAATGCAGGCTCTGTCTGGAGCTGCACAGCAGTCAATCAGCTGGTTGCTGGGAAACTCACTTTGGCAAACACACATGCTGTAGCTCCAGTGCCTGCCACTACAATGTGGTATGTAGCAGATCTCATCAGCATTTTACACTTCTTTTGTCCGTTTCGCTTTTGGTGACTACATCATGATGGATGTTGAAAACGACTCGATCAGCAGCAGTCCTTCAGGAGCATCGAGAGAATATAAAGTTGTGATGCTCGGAGCTGGCGGAGTTGGGAAAAGCGGTAGGTTTGAAATTGACCAATTTATACAACTAACTTGTGTGTCAGTAACATTGGAAATCCATTCAGAAATCTCTCTAGTGAGTTGGCTTTGCTGCCGTTCGCTGTGATCGTCTCTCAATGGCTTAAAAGAGATAATCGATAACATAGCCACCAAAATGGTAATGCCTCTATTAAAGTTCAGTAAATAAGTAGATCAGTGATTGAGCTGTCAAGAAAGCCGATTACAAATACAAGTATGTACTATATATAACAATCCACCCCACTAGTGATACAGCAATGACATTTCAGCTATTTACTTGCTTTAAAATGATTGCTCTCTATTGCTTGAATACAAGAGCGCTAAAAGTATTTTGACAGTGCTTAATGCTGATGTTTAGAAAACGAGGAACTAGTTGGTTGCAGACTTTCTGACATTGTAAACATTGCCACCTGCTAAGATGCTCCTGTACTGCTGGTACAATACTTTAGAGAGAAAATATATATAGTAATGGTACTTAATAGCATACACTTATTGTGCTATTTTTACCCTCTGTATATTTATTATGGAAAACTTGTATTTGTCAACAAAAGGAATGAGTTTGAAATTAAAGAGAAAAAACACTCATTAACATTACCCGAGGGATGGCAGAAAGGAAATGGTTTAAATTTTATGAACGGAAAATCCGTAAAACAAATTAGGAACAATTATTCCATTTTGCTTTTTAATGACAGTACATATCTATTACAGTACATGATGTTTATTACAGTACTTAAAAGACATCTCGTGTACATCACATTGCAACTGTAAGCATGGTAATACTCTATATTACAAAAACTTCCATATTTTGCCAACAATTAAATAATTCTAATCATCTACATGGACAATGCTGCGGGAATGATTACTTAAGACGCACCTCTTTGACCATGCTTCAGGCATCTTTCCCTTCCCTACCATTTTCGATTCCCAGCTCCAGTTTGGGTGCCCACCCAGCAGCGTCAAGTGCTTTGAAACGTCCTCCCAATGTGAAATTCGCTAAATAAGTGTGTATTGAATTGTGATAAGCACATTTATCAGACTAAGTTTCATTGTATCCTAATTTTCTTAGGTGCGGACTATAAACAAGTCACTTTACTTTGATGTTTCTTTAAATTTTTGATGTCTTTGGTGTTTTAGTACTAAACCGTAATTCACAACATATGGCGTATGGATATTAATTGTGTCTTTTCTTAAAAATCTATCAGTGGAAATCTTGATTTGCTGGCAGACATGCAAAACATGAAAGCCCATGGCCTTTTGCGTTTTTTCATTTTATTCATTTTGCACTTTGAGACGATCCTCACGACATGAAAGACGCTTAACAAATGTAACTTGTATTGTATTTCTTGGTGCTTTTAACTTGCCTCTGTTTGCTTTTGTTGATAGCTATTTTTATCTGTGTCAAAGATGTCCAAGGTGCACAGTTTTGATTGCAAGAATGCGAATCATTCTTCCCGATGTGAGTCCTAAGTGCCCAGTTTTTGGCAATAAGAGACAAAAGACTCTCCGACTTCAACTGATTGACCCTCACTGTTTTTTATTTAAGTGGCCCTGTGGCCATCATATCTCTGGTGTCTTAGGACATTTTCCCAAGGGTGAATTCATTGCCCTTGTTCTTTGGATGCTCCCTATAACATAGGGGAGACCATCGAAGGATTTGGTGTTTAGGGTGAGGATCTTGAACTCGATCCACTGAGGGATGGGGAACCAGGGAAGCGGGGTAAGGATAGCAATGATAGGTTTGTGGAGCCTATCACATACTTTGGTGATGTTAACCTCAGCAATATACTCGCCTGACAATTTCACTGCTGCGCTAGGCTGGAATGATAGAGTGATAGAGCTTCATAACACAAAAAGAGGTCATTTCTCAAACTAACTTGGTGCGAGAGAGCTTCTGTGTATCCCTAATGCAAGGCTTTGAAAAAGGTGCCAACTTGAGCAGCAGTGGCCCACGGAGATGGCGCTTGTCAGATTCTTGATTTTTTTTGGCAACTGTCGTTAAGGTTTGGGATCTCGGTTTCCAGTTTTTCAGCGATGCTTTACAAGACAATGATTTAACTAAATAAAAATCCTACAAAGCAGTGCCTAATTCCACTTCAGTAACAGGGTCTAATATTGTGGACCCTAACATAATTTCAGAACTTACTGCTGCAGAAAGTCATCAGTGCAGAATCAATTGAGGGATATGGCTAGATACTTGGGGAAAATATTGGGGTGAAAACTGTGAAGTTTTCATAATAGATTCAAAAACCAATAACCCACAGCAGCAGATTTCTTGACCCCTGGTGCTATTCTTACACAATATACTGCAATGCAGTTTATATCGCTACAGCAACAATTTGCATTAACTTAACAGCTCTCACGCAGTGCCATTCACGTCGGGAGGACATCTCAAAATGCTTGACAGTGCTGTCTGTGCAGCTGAGCTGGGGGTGGGGGCCAAGGGGGGTGGGGAGGAGAAAGGAGAAACATAAGATATGATTCTTACACTTTTGTCATTCTCACACCATGAATTATTCTCTTGGGATATTAAAGGGCAACATTTAACATTTGTTTCAAACACTCAACATGTGGGATTGTGGCTGTTAACTTAAAAAAAACACGTCAGAGTATCCTGGAAGACAAATGCACAGCCCATCTTCACTAACAACCTGTAGCACATTGGTTCACAGGCAAGAGGACCTGGGTTTGATTCCCAGGAAGGGCGAAACGTTAGACAAGTTTCCTTACTCCTATATGCCTTGGTTAACCAAGCAGTAAGTAGGAACCCAGTTGTTAGTCGATTGGTGGATCACTTTTCCAGGGGATAATAATCCCTTCAAAAGAAAATAATAATAATAATTTGGTCACTCAATTCATGACTCTTTGTGGGACACTGCTGTGCGCAATTGGCTGCTGTGTTTTGCCCACAAAATATAGTCATTTCACTTTACAGTATATTCTGTAAAGTGCTTTGAGACGTCTTGAAGACATGAAGCTCCAGTCGGGGAGCGGCGGCAGGACAGCGCGGGGAGGAGCCTGGGCCTACCTACCCAGGTATTTAAACTCGACGCCGGAGCGAGATCAGCTAGGGGGGGCGGGGGGAGGTGTCGGGGCGGAGCGGGGGAGCCGCTGACTTCATAGATTAGTTTTCAGGTGCGTGCGCACCCAATAAAAAAAAAACCTCTGCGCCCCCCCCAACCCCCCCAGGGCTCACATCAGAGCCCACTATGGTCCTGTTGGGTTCGCTGCCCCAATCTACGGGATAATGCCATCCACCTGACCGCTCGCTCCCGGTCCCCGCGTGCGCACTATGGCTGCCGCTTTGACCCGAGCCCCCTCACCCCCTCCCTCCCTCCCCCCTCCTCTCTCCCCCCAAACCCTCCCCCTCTGCATCTCTCCCGCTCTGTCCTCCTCTCTCTCCGTCCCTCTCGTCTTCTATCCCCACTTGACCCTCCCACAACCTCCCTCTGTTCCAGCCTGGGAATCCTCCGCCGGGCTCACCGTGGCACTCGGCGTTGGCTGTCCAGCAGCAGCCACACCGACTGCCCCATTCCCCACCACTCTCGCCAGCCACCCCGGACACAGACCCGGGGAGCCAACCTCTCCTCCCTTATCCCCATCCCCCCCACCCCTGCCTCACAACCTGGACCCCCCTCCCCTCCCACACACCCTTCTGTCAACCGCTCCCTCCACATCGGACTGCAAAATGTCCGCTCCCTCTGCAACAAGGCCCTGGTCATCAACGATCTCATCCTTGATGAGAACGTTGATATCATGGCCTTAACAGAAACCTGGCTCACCCCAGGCGACACCTTCCCCCTCACGGAGGCCACACCACCCGGCTACACCTCCCACCACATCCCCCGCCCCAACCGCCGTGGCGGTGGTGTTGCCCTTATCTCAAGGACACCACTTGCCCTATCCCCTACTCCACTGGCTCTTTCCCCTCCTTTGAGCACCTCACCCTCTCCCACCCCTCATTCCTCTCCCTTAAAATCCTCCTCCTCTACCGGCCCCCTAAAACCTCTCCCACCTTCATCTCTGACATTTCAACACTCCTCACATCTCTTTGCCTCTGCTCTGATCGCCTCATCATCCTGGGCGACTTTAACCTACACTTCACCCCCTCCTGCTCCATCTCCACAGACTTCTCTTCCCTGCTCTCCTCACTCAACCTCTCCTTACACATAAACTCCCCCACTCACAGTCACGGCCACCCACTCGATTTGGTGATCACCCGGGGCCTCAGTGTCTCGGATGTCACTATTACCGACAAGGCCATCTCTGACCACCACTTCATCTCCTTCACCACCTCCACCCCCCTCCCCACCTCCACCAGACCCACCACCATCTTCTACCGCCCTTGGAAGAAGTTACCCCCACAATCCCTAACCGATGCCTTGGAGTCCTCTGAACTCCTCTCCCTCTGGCCTTCAACCCTCACCGACCCCTCTTCTCCTCTCTCCCTCCTCCACAATACCCTCTCCTCCACACTCGATACTCTTGCCCCCATCACTTCCCGCACTGTCTCCTACTCCCGCTCCTCCCCCTGGTACACCACCCACCTCCGCTCACTGAAAAGCCAGGTGCGGGCTGCTGAACGCACCTGTGTCAAAACGGTCCACCGACAAATCTGGCTGGACCTCCTCAAAATTTACCGCTCCACTCTAGCCTCGGCCAAGTCGTCCTTCTACTCCAGGATAATCCTGGAGGCGAAGAACAACCCCAGGCTACTGTTTTCCACCACAACCCGACTCCTCCGTCCCCCCGCCACCCCGCGCAGGTCATCTCCTCCAACCTTCACTGCGAGGAGATGCTGGATTTCCTTGAATCCAAGATCAAGGGAATCCGCTCCGCGGTCACTTCCCCTCCAACATCCACCAACCCCCCACCCCCTCCCTCCCACACTCCGACTCCTACCCATCCTCCCCTACACACCTTCGTACCCGTTTCCCCACCCTCTGTCACCAAACTCATCCTATCCCTAAAACCAACCACCTGC